TCAAGCACAATGGAAGGCCTGACTCCGCCCGTACGACCAGCATGATCTGCGTCTTCGTCTTCCCTTCATTTCAGCACTGGAAACTTTCCACTCGGTCGTTGACATGCGTACATAGGGTATGATATTCAAATAGGATCAAAATCTATTTCGTACTGCATACAAACGGAGTAAGTTCTCCTTGCCATACAGCCAAAAGGGGAGCGGGACAAAGTATAAGAAAAAAGAAAAAAGGTGCATATAGGCCGAAGCACTGCTCAGTGCTACTTGAAGACAATCCCCGATCAAGTTTCACGGTAGTATGTGCTCAATCATGAACCGCTAGCCCATAATAACTCCCCATTAAAGAAAGGAGCGAAAAAACTTTCCGAGCACTTTTAACAGAGACCCCCTTAGAAGTAGGCGCCTTGGACGAGCTTGTCGGACGTCAGCAAGCCCAATCAGCAGGATTCGACGTGCAACCACGTTCCCGGCGAAAGCACAGGAAATCACCCTACGACGCTCCAGGCAACGCTATTTGCACAATTTCGCTTGTAAGCCGTTGTCCTTGCAGAGTGAAAGTAATCGTGGTTGCAATGGTTGCAATAATCACGCGTCTCTAGCTTCTTTATCTCGCCGTTTCGAGTGACGAAAGTGGTATATTCTCTGCGAATGCGGACAATGATGCCAAATGCACGGAGGCATTTCGCGGACCACTTGATCGCGGAAACTGTCTTTAAGGCTGATCTTTCCTACAATTCTCAACAGGGGCTTCCCTTTCCATGGACTTCATCCGAGGACTTCAAAACCTCTGCTGAGGAGTTGCAAGCTTTCCGAAGACATGCAGGAATCATCGCAACCAGCGCTTGCGCACTTACGCACGATGTAGAGAATTTTGGGGTAACTTGGTTGCACGAAAATTGTAAAGAAACAAGTAAGAGAGGGGGAGGGTTCTCGAAAGTTGTATACAAATCTGATGAATGTTACCGGAATTCATAAAACACTGCATGATCCAAGTTCTTTCTCAGACTGCAGACTACAAACCTGTCGGCTGACTCCGAAGAAAGCACAACTCCAGTGATGACGGTAGCATTCGTTGGCTGAACGAGATCTCGTTGAGCGATGTTTAGAGCACCTGAAGGTAAGCAGATGACGTCCACTGATGCAACCAGTCTACATTGATCGCTAGGGGCGGAGACAATCGAATATTGTGACTCCAGCCCTCACTTAAAAGGTGAGGGAGTACCAGTGAGGAAAGTACAGTGGTTAACTGTCTCTGCCCATACCACCAATGAGGACAGCTATTTTACTCAGTGGTTCAATGAACAAGACTGCTATTTCTAATCACCAAAGTCAACGCTTCGATCTGGAAATCGCTCCAT